TTGCTTGATTTTTCCATGTGAGCCTTCTGTAATTTCCTTGTAATCTTGACCTGCCCCCACCCTCCACACCTTTCCTCTCCTGATGAGGTCACAGAGAGGTGGATTTAAATAATCTGGGGAGGACGTTATGCAGACAGACCTTGTTTAAGAGGGAGAACATGTTGAAAGTCTTATGTGATCGGATTTAAACTTTGAGAGTAATTGAGCAATTTGTCAGTGGCCTGTTTGGACTAGATCAGATGTAAAATAGAGCTGTTAGCCCATAGAAGATGTTGAACTGTTAAGTCACAGGTTTGTGATAAACTTGTCCATTGGTAAAATGCTTGCCTGTTTTTCTCTGGGTTTCCTAGGAACCCAAATACAATAGAGACGCTCTAATCTTTTGGGAAGGCTGTTGACTGGGCAAAGTCTGGAAAATTCACACAGCAAGACATCAACGAAGGCAAACTTTGTCTTCTCAACCGTAGATGCTCCTGTCGCTCCTTCAGACAAAGGTATTGTGAGTATAAAAGTGAGAATCTCAGTCCACAGCCTCACAGATGGTGTTGCCGTTTTCCGAGTTCCCCTCATGCACAGGCAGCAGCACCAGCTTCTGGCTCCTCGGTCCTTGCCTGTGATACAATTTCCATGTCTGACACCCTAAACATTGGCCTTCGAAACACGCTTCCCGACATCCGGGCGAAGAGTGCATCCTGTCGTTTCAGTTTTACTGACTTGAGGCCTAGTGGGGCCAACCCACGGCAGTGTCTGGGCTCATTAGGGTGGAAAGACGACGTGGGCACTGCCCAGGCCTGGCCACGTTACTCTGTAGAGCCACTTTTGCTCACAGCATTATCAGCCTCATGTGGCCCCGACTACGTCCACGCTGCAGAAGCAGGCCTTGGTAGGGGTCAGGGTGTGATCTCTGGGCTGTTAGACACATCCCTGTGGTTGAAACACGTATGTGAAATAAGTGAGATGCACCTGTCCCCTCCGAGACATGAGTGCACAGCCCACTGTGCGAACTCCTGGGCGGCGGCTCCACTGTGCCTGTGGTTTGCCTTCTAGGAATGGACCACTTCTTGTGCGGCCTCTCAGATGAGATGAAGCAGGCCCACAGGGAGCAGCTCTTCCCCGTCAGCCATGACAAGCTCCTGGCCGTGAGCGATAGGTGAGTGGGGAGACAGCGTCTGGGATTGGAGGCCTTAACGGCACTGATGCAGAAGCCTGTCCTCGCTGACCTTGCCTGCCCTTCCTCTCAGGTACCTCAGCACTGGGAAGAGCACACATGGCCTGGCCATACTTGGACCCGAGAACCCCAAAATTGCCAAGGGCCCATCCTGGATCATCAGATGAGTGGCCCTGGCACCCCCAACTG